TGAATTCTTTTTGTTTTTTGTTCTTTGGTTTTCAGAGTTAAGAAACGTATAAGTTTGTGTGATGAAATTATTCTAGCAGCGGTTTTTTTTGTTTGTTGTACGTGCTTTCTGTAATTTGTTCGGGTTTTGTCGGGGGTTTGATAAGTTTTTAGGCAAATAGAGAGTGGAAAGTGTTGTTTGAACGTTTTATAGGTCTGAATGGGTTTAAATTAGAGTTATGGGTTGGTTTTAAAGAGTAGAAATTATGAAAAATAATGTTTTAACAGGAAGAAAAGTCTTTTAAAATTTATAGTTTAACATTTGTGGGGCTAATGATTCAAAATCTCAATTTGCTTATACCTATCTTTTGTGTTCTTTTTACTGAAGAAAATTGTAGAGTTAGTTTCAACCATAAAAGTGTTCAATATCACAAAAAAAAACTTATTATATAGGGTGAGCTTTAAATAAGTGCAAATATTTTTAGGGGGAGTATATTTCGACCCCAGAAACACGTTTGTGAGGTTTCTTTTGCAAAAAAAATGAAACTTCGGAATTTTTTCAACACTTTTTTAGATATTTTTTTTTAATTTTTAGTAAAAAAACATAATATCGTTACCTATAACATGGCAACATAGGTCCATGATTAAACTTACAAGAATTCTTTCTTGTAACCCAGAAAAAAAACAGTAGTTCTTAAAATTTAAGAATTTTTTTTTAATTTTCAATGTAAAATATCTCAGTTATTTTGGACTTAAGTATTTAAAAAACGGTAAAAAGAAAATATGTTTATTTTATCGAAATCTATCAGCACTAAGTATAGATAAACCCAGTATAGATAAGTGGTAGATATATCCATATAGACAAAAGATGTTATCTTACTATAGTAAAAAAGAAGAATGAAATGATTGGGTAAACCCACAGTAAGATATGAAATATGACTAGAATACGACTGATGATACGAATAATATATCCATATACCTACATAGTTTTAATTTGATACAATATACACAGGGTGGTAATTCGGGATACTTCAGCAGCATATTCTGCAGATAAAAATAAGTAAAAAAGATACAAGGTGTAGAAATTTCACGTTTATTTTGTTTTTTTATAATATTTTTGGATGAAAATTTGTGCCTGGGTGTTTATTGACATGAGACATTAGATCTATGGGCTCCATTTCCATGTTTTTTAACTGTTTTAAAGAGTAGTAAATTTTTGTTCGTACCTTTACTACACTAGCGAAAGAAAAAATATACATTTCCGCCGTTTTTTACGCCCAAAAGGTCTCTTGGTGAAAATCAGTAGGAGTAACTTTTTTCAAGATATTTAGAATGGTTTGGAAAAAATAAACATGAAAACTGGATGGTTCAGTAGAGTGAAATAATAAATTTTGTAACGTTTTTGTGCCAAAGGTTCAACAGAAACTGTTTTACCATAATTTTTGTTCAAAAATTTATGGTTAATTTAAAAAAATTAAAAAGTTCCCAAATTTATATCTTTCAGTCAAATGAACTATTTAGTCAACATACAATCAGTCGGTAGTCCGATCAGTCGTATGTCGCATTTCATAGGTCGCACATCATAGTAGATACGTACGGATTTTGTTGCTTGGAATTTTGCATAATTTGCTTTTTAAGCGCATATCGTATAACAAATTAGTGATCGTTATTAACATGCATTTGTCATTTTTTATGGACAAATTTTAGGATATATGGATTCTTTAAAGGAGTTTCTGAAAAAAAGTGGAAATTAGTTTTATTTACTATATCTGAAGGTAAGACCTACCAAATGCACCTGTTTAGATAATGCATGCGTGACTATAGATAGAATAAGAATAATAAATAAGCAAATAGTTACAAAAATTTTAGATTTTCAAGTCGTCGTATTAAAAAATTCAAAATGTGACCAAAGCTTATAATTTTAATAATTTATTTGCTTTACTTTGATTAATCGTGATGTAACATTTTTTTGTAATTTGTAGAGTGATGAACCACCCCAAAAAATACCAAGGAGTGAAGAAGCAGAAATAACTACTATCGAGAAAATAATATCACTTTACTTACTACAGACCAGGAAAACCTACATTTATCAGAAAATAATATACCTCGTAATATGCCTGTATATGATGTAGTTCTCTTAGATCAAAATAAATTTTAGTTGGGTCAATAGTATTCGCTATTGGTTTAAGAAAAGTGTCTCTTTAATCAAGAAATGTCCCTTTTCAATCAAGAATTTTTGCATGAATCAAAGAAACTATTGTTCCTGTAGCAAGAACTTCTTTGCATATTCATTTTGGGTCAAGAGTGAAATACTTTGGACAGATAGATCCTTCTATTCTCTAAAGTAAATTTTTAAAGCTTATGAAAAGATAGTTAATGCTTTGGGCAAAGAAACGTCGTTCTTGGCCCTATTGAAAAGCGCCAATCTTTTGGGTCAAAGTCATATTCATTTCGACTGAGAGATCCTGTTTTTCAGTGCATGTTTAGTTCTTGTCAATGATGGCATGCATTGATTATTTCGATTTTAAACTTAAATTTTCAAGTTCTCTTAAAGGTCTGCGTATTCTGAATACACATGCCAAATTTGAACAATTTTGGATAAGACAATTTTAAGTAATTTAAGAAAGCTGCATCTATTTTTAAATATTAAACTGAACCGGTAGCAATACAAAACCATATGAGGCAAATATGATCAAAAATGTGACATCAGGTCTGCCATAATGGTAAATAAGCACACATGCCAAATATACATTAACGTGACTAGCAATTCATTCTGGGGGGGGTCTGGGGTTGAGCCCAGGGGGGCCTAGGTCTTTTGTTCTTTAAAAAATGAAGCATAATATTAAAAAACACATTTTTTGAATAAAACGTTTACATGAATTTCTCTATCAATAAATTTCAGACTTGGTTATCAAACCGTGTTCCTGTAGATTACTTAAATACCTACAAATTTTCTAAAAAAATAAAAACTAACACATTTTTTGAATACAACAAAATAATTTTAACTAAACAAAACTAGAAAACGTCATTTTTACTACATTACAATAAGCAAATAAAAATTAATACGTAGCCAAGAATCATAGTTCAAGATTTCTCTGGGGGGTGCCCAGCAGTATTTGGGGGGGGGCACCCCCGGGCGCCACTGTAGTTACGCCAATGGAAATATACCTTCTGTGTCTCTAAATATTTATTTAATTTCCTTTAATAATATTATCCCAGAATATTTCAAACGCTTTCGACAGATATCTATAGCTAGTTAAGTACTTCAGCAACTATCTTCACGTAGGTATATAGATATACGCTTCCACCAAGAGCGGTTCCTGGGAACTATTTTCCTTATAATCATTTCTTCGAACTGCTCGCTCTTCATTTCTCAGTCCGCCAAGACCGGGATAGCTCTAATTAAAATACTGAGTCGTTTTTTACCTCTTTGCGGTCGCATTCTAGCGCTACTTGTTTCCTTTGAAGTACTCCACCATCATTTTTCTCTAGAATTCGAACTGGGAACCTGTAGCATCATTATTAGAGTATCTAGATGAATGTGTCATTCTGTTCTACACTGTAAAATTTTTGATCATATTATTTATAGTCAGCAGTGGCGGATATAGGAATTTATTTTAGGGGGGTCCAAATAAAAGGTAACGTAGAATATGCTTTTTATAGAGCGCCATTTCATTTACATATTTTAGGGGGGCCTTGGCCATATGGCCCCCCTCTGTATCTGCCACTGATAGTCAGTGATGGGTAAGTATTCCGGTAGGTATATATTGAAATTTGAGTATTTAATTTATTATTAATTGGACTTTCTTCTTTCTTGTCACCGATTTTGTTAAAACTGCTGTTATTCACTAATTAAAAGGCGTAGAATAATAAAATATAGGCCATTGAAGTCTTACTGGAACAGTAATGGACGTAGGTGACGTTTTAACTATCGTCAAAAGTAGTTCAAAACCAGGGCCCAAAAAATTATTTTTTCCATAAAACCTAGATGCCTAAGCCTTTAAAGGTGTCTATATTCTGAATCTATTTAAAATTTTCTACAAATACTGAAAGTTTGATAATTTTATGGCTGTGATTACTATCTATCTAAGGCTTTGAATATGTATAAAAAATAGCCAAAAATAGTTTTTTTTGTCGGTCCTGAAAATTGGCAATTTTTGTCATGGCACCGATTTTGTTATAGCTGCTGTTATTTACTAATTAAAAGGCGTAGAATAAGAAAATATAGGCCCTTGTAGTCTTACGGGAACAGTAATGGATATAGGCGACGTTTTAAAAAACATCAAAAGTAGATCAAAACAAGGACCCAAAAAATTATGTTTTCCACAAAACTTAGATACCTAAGTCTTTAAAGGTGTATATATTCTGAATCTACATAAAATTTCCTACATATGCTGAAAGTTTGATATTTTTTTGGCTATGATGATTACTGTCTTTGAGATATAGTAATAAATTTTCATAAAAAAACATTTCGTTCCCTATTTTACTTCCTATAAAGGAATGCACTTCCTAAAATATATAAAATAGAAAAATATTCATTCATACCTATAGAAAAATATTTTATTCCCTATTTTACTTCCTATAAAGGGATGCATTTCCTAAAATCACTGTTATAAAAACTTAAAATTATTTAAAATAAGTCTACTACACTTTTGTAGCTTTATCTGAATTTTTACTAACCTAATTATTCAGATTTAAAAAACTTTATTTACTTATATATCGTAAACTATTTAAGAAACCTACACTCAAAACAGCAAATCAATACATCCAAACCTCTCAATCCCTCCCAACAACACTCTCCTAACACAATCACCAAAAACCAATCAATCCCAAAAAAATCCCCAAATTTCCTCCCTACACACCTCGATCCGACAACGCCGCTTCGTCCGCCGTGCATACCCGTTCGCTCCGCCCACCCGTCACACGTCACCCTCGCCACGCCCACATTCCGACCGCGCCCACTTGCTTGACTCCGCCCCGCAGCTCGTCACATACCAGCAGAAGTCTTCTGATGCTCTCGTGGTGTGTATCGATCGGTTTTTGAGCTTGCTAGTAACGAAAAACGCGTGTCGTGAGTAGAAAATGGTCCGATGGCTACCTTAGTGACCGGTTCTAGCCTACAGAGGGTTAATTTATTACCGTTAACCATGGCAGAAGACTGTAGTAGTTGTTCTAGTGATGATACAGTGCTCTCAGTCGGAAACGAAGCAGAAAACCAGCCCCCAGACGATTCAGAGTGCGTTAACGGAGGTAGTACTTTGAGTTTTAAGAATCTGGAAGATCATTTGAACGCTCTGAGTCAAGGACAGTCGTCTTCCAGGCTTAGTCCGTCGAACAGTAGTTCCAGATCGTGTTCGTCCCCGTTGTTCCGTGCAGAGAACTTGGTGAACTTCGGGTACCGTAGTGGCGAACAGTTAGGGTACCACGGAGGGTCTAGTTTGTGTTCTCCAACATCAGTACAAAGTGACGGGACGGACAGTCCAGGCAGCCCGTGTTCTAGATGGATCTCTTCTGCCAAAACACCTTCAAACACCTCTCCGGAATCATCCAGGCATCAAAACGAGGTTTTCTTCAGGCCAGGTACCGCCCAGGACCAGAAAACTGACCACCAAGCAACGTTAAAGTTCTCGATAGACAATATTTTGAAGGCTGACTTCGGTAGAAGTAGAATACTAGACCCTATAACGATAAGAAAGTCGAAACCTCCCCCTTGTAAGAAGCCTGTGGGTGATGGGGGCGGTTTCTCTGGAGAAGTACGAAGGCAGGGTACTTCAACTTGTGTGGATAACGAGAGAACGAGCGGGGGACCGGTAGATTTGAGTCCTAGGAGTGATAGGAGTGGTGATTCTTCGAAAAATGAGACTTCTGGGGGTAAGGGTGATCAACCAATGTTATGGCCAGCTTGGGTGTACTGTACCAGATATTCGGATCGTCCTAGTTCAGGTAGGTCTATAATATTTAATAGTCTTAGGTATATTAGAGATTATAAATTATGCGGATTCGGAGTTACATCAAATTTCATGGACCTACATCCAGGTTCCAGTTCTTCCAGATCTTTGTTCCAGATCTATATAATTCTAACCTTTAATTATTTTTTTTTCAGCTGATCTTAGTGTTCTATTTATTTGTTATAGAGATACCTTAAGGCCATATGAGGCAAAACATTATGAACCTTTGCATATAGTTTATATCAAATAAACTTTTAGTCACGTGATTAAGCTTGCCCGGCACAGCGTTGCCCACTTTTACATATTTTCTTTGAATCAAAATATTTTAGGAAACAAAAATAAATTAATTATAAATATATAAACAGTTATTATTTGCATCAACAAAACTCACCTATTTAACAACACTTAAGGGACATAAAGGACCATTACTACCGCTTTCCCGTTCAAAATATTCTAATAAATTTGCGACGATTTTTTACGGCTATTAAGCTACACTTCGCACTAAAAGAGGTTCTAAAAAGAACAATGCTCGACTGCAAAGTCTACTAGTAATTTTTTTAAGTTTAAAAGTTCACAACACTGTTTATTTTAACCAAAAACTCGTAGTATACAAAAATAAAGTGTTAAAACGAATGACAATGTCTGGAAATAAATCAATAAATGTGACAACTCGACATTTTTTACAGCAGAGCTACCACCTGAATCCCCAGCGCGAAATTTAAATTCCAGTTAGCCAGCCCGCCGCCGAGTATGTCCATGGTTGGCAACAATGAATTTAAAAATCGCGCCCTCGATTACGTAACTGAAAGTTTAATTGTTTCATGCTAGAAGAAAAATCATCGGCATTTTACAGATAATTTTTTAATAAATAAAATGGTATCTTTTTTTGACGGACCCTGTATAATCATAACATAATCCCATAAAAATTTTATTCCTCTGAAATCACTCTATACAGATTTTTACCGAATTATCTTGGAAAAAAATCGAATTAAAAAAAGCGACGTTGCCGATTTTTTCAAAATTTCCCGAAATCTCCCTATTTTTCTTAAAAAAATTAAAAAAAGCAAAACATAATTAAAAAAACCTCGTCAAAGCAGGCGTAGGCGATTTCACACAAGCACTATGTTATTAAATTCCTCTAATAATAGTATTGAATCGATTTAAATACGGTCTGTGAGTAACGATAATGATCTAGGCCTGTTAGTATGCAAATTGCCTTTAATAAATTCGCGTTAAGGTGTTGTTTAAACAAATAGTTACACGACCGTTAAATATTAATAATAATAGGCGGAATTTATTGGCTAGACATAATTTTTACCGTTTTTTTCCTATTGTTTTATTTTATCTGTGGGTTATTATGGTATGGTGGTTTGTTAGTCACTCAATAATAGGTGATTGTTTCAGAACTTTGAATAAAAAGATTTAGCAAGGAGCATAGTATCAATAAATTTTAGTGGAACACGATGGTGGATCAATATGGCGTAATAACAATTTCGAACATCTCCTTCAAATCCTTTAATTTAACAGCTGTTAGTAAGAAGTTTCAGCTACTTAGTGTACACACAATTTTTTTAATCCAATTTACATAAAACACACACTAAATTTCAAGTTTTTGAAGTATGTTTGACTCTTTTGAAGTACCCGAAGGCAGTCCCTAGGTGCACACTGCACAACCTTAGAAAAATAATAACATTATTTTTGGGCTATAAAATTTTAAAAGCTGCAAATTATTGGATCTTATTAAAAAAACTAAAAACACTATCTAGTAAAATTTATTATCTATGCTATAAGGTTCAAAATTTCCTATTTTCAATCAAGATATTTCCTTTTTTTTTAATCCACATTGTACAGTATGATCGAAAAAAAAACCCGCATTCACAATCGATGATAATTATGGCAAGGTCAATCTCTAGATGCCATTTACTAAAAATTGTAAAAATTAACGTAAAACTTTAAAATTATTAACACTAACTATAGAAAGAATAAATTACCATCTTTTTAAGGCCAACAGGCAGTAAGTACCATAAAAAAAGAAGAATACGGACAAATGACGTATAGAATAGAACAGAATAAGTGGGAGGGGGGTTAATCTCTGCGACCTTAGAGATCTATTGTGCCCCCCTTTCTTGAGTTATAACTCATCATACAGTCCCAGGATTTCCTACGGAGACCCGTGTCCCTCACAGTCGAGGAGCTACGACCCAGGCCGGGTAGACGAAACGGTAGCTTGTGTCGCCTGTTGGGTTTAGAGGTAGGAGGTAGGCTCCCGACCCTTGGAGGAGGTGGTAGCTTGTATGCCACTTGCGGAGGATGGTCTCACGCAAGTGTCAGCCACCTCTCCTGTAGTTCTCTTTGGGTTTGGCCCCTTGGAACTTTCATTGTTACTGTTCCCAGTGTCGCTAGAGGGTTTCCCCACAGCTTCACCGGTGATGTTTTTATTACTATTGTTACCAGATCTCATAGTATTCCCATGAGTCGCTAGGGACAGTCGGTCCACTTCTACAGAGCCCCGCATGTAGAAGTAAGGGGTAAAATACAATGGGGTGCCCCCCGATGCCCCAAGGTTGAGGCTGTCCGTAGCCCCGCCCGGTATCGTTATATGTCTTGGTGCAATTCCCTGGCCACGACACTACAGTCAGGGACAAGACGATGAGTGAGATGTTTCTTAGACCAAGCCAAGTGCTAGGGGGGATTCCCCCCAGCACCTGACCAGGAGCTTCCCCACCAACGACAAGGTCTTGCATCTCCTAGGGGAAGACAAATGACGTATAGGGCTTGACCTCACTAAAATTAACATCGATTGCCATTCCGCAGCCGTCTATGACGCCGTTTCTTTTTCCGACCGTACGGTATTAGGTACTTATCAATGTGTACCCACATTGTAGCTATTTTTTCTTCATTCATAAAATCAACCAAAGAATGAATAGTCAAATACAATCCAGTCATGATTATTAAGAAAAAACAAATGAGAAACATATTTTAAGGTGAGGAACATCCAACGTAATTTCGGGTGATACGCTCGTCAAAAACCGTTGACACGTGTCATATGTCAATGCAAATGACGTCTCGATCTCTTGAAGACCTCCCACGTGGGCGCGACACATATACAGGATCATATATACATATTGGATTACCCTCTGTGTTGGTACATGACTTGCAATAGATAAGGATATAGCTATTTCTTTAGGGAGTGTCTTGTGTCTATGAAGATGACATTCGACAACGCCTAAAATGTCACTTTAATTACCTTTGACACATACAGTGTGCTACAAATTCGAGGTACGAGCATTGGTATCTCGGTAACCGTAAAAGATACGGACATGGTTAAATTGGGACAAAGTTGCGCTTTGGGATGTTCACCAAGATGCCATCAAAAAAGATTTAAAAATTTCAAGGATTGCTGAGTTTTTTGGAAAAAACTGATTTTTTTGAAAATTAATTTTATTTTTTTTGTCGTTATTTTATAGAAAATCAAAAAACTAATTGCACTTTCTCATAGCCACTTTATTAGGGCTATCTGATAGTATTTTTAGATTTTCAAATTAGCTGACAATTTGTGAGATACAGAGACCAACTTAATTTTTTTAAATACGGACCTGCATTTTTTATTTCAGTTTTTGAAAGAACTCGCTTTCCAGAATACAATAATATGCCACACTTTATACTTTTTTTTGTTTTGGATACCTTAACAGCAACAAAACTATTTAATTATTATTTAAAATGATTTCAAGTCCGACTCTGGTTTCTATAGCATCTAATAATCCTAATTACTAATTCTTCCATAGCCCTAATAATGTGGCTATGAGAATGTGCAATTAGTTTTTTGATTTTCCAAAAAGTAACGACAGGAAAAAATAAATTTGATTTTCAAAAAAATCAGTTTTTTCCAAAAAACTCAGCAATCCTTGAAATTTTATTATAGGATCAAGTCATGATCTTGCTAAACATTTCTATTGGATTTCCTGCATCCAGTATATATCTGTTTGGAACTTGAAGACGATTTTCTTCTTCCACATGGTCCAAAATTTAACTCATCTAACATATTCAAAACTGTTTAATTAGACAAAACGGATTTACAAGGGATTCACTTTGTTTACAAAAAAAGTTGGGTTAAGAAACTATCCACAGATCACATAAACTATCCAAAATGACAATCTCCAAAATGAAAATCGCAATCTCCAAAATGAGGTTTGCTCGTGTATTCTGTCGATTCCGCTCTCAAGAGCCCAAGACCGTCTTGGCGTCTCGAGACGCAACTATAAATACGGGCCCTAGAATGCTTAGTTTCGGAGATACAGGGTGTAGAAGTTTCATATTTATTTCGATTTTTTCCAAATAATTTCTGAAATAACGTCAATATTTGGATGAAAATTGGTGTGTGGGAGTTTTTTGACATGAGAAATTTGATTTTGATGTCAATATGACTCCTATTTGTAGGGGGCGCCACCTACATGTGCTTAACTGTTTTGAAGAGTAATAACTTTTCGTCCGTTCCTATATAAAACTACTGAGTGAAAAAATATACATTTCCGTGACTTTTTACGTAAAAAATATCTCTTGGTAAAAACCATGGAGAACCATTACTCGTAGCGATTTTTACCAAGAGACCTTTTTTATTACGTAAAAAACATCGTGAATGTATATTTTTTTAATCGGTAGTTTTATACGGGTACGGACAAAAAGTTATTACGTTTCAAACAAGTTAAAAAATATAAAAAAGGAGTCATTTTGACATCAAAATCCTTTGGAAAAAATCGAAATAAAAATGAAATTTCTACACCCTGTATCTTCGCAACTAAGCATTTTGGAACATACATTTATACGAACTTTTTTTCTTATTTTCATCTGCAGAATATGCTGCCGAAGTTTCCTGAATACAGTTCGGTGCACCCTGTATACTAATTAAATACATTTTTATGAGCCTATAAACTACTATTAATATAAATATTAAATACTATACACTATATTAACAATAAAAACCATGTTATTACGTAT